TATGTGTGCAGGTATCTTTTTTATAGAGTGATTTGAGTTCTTCAGGGTATATTCCCAGTAGGGGGATTGCGGGATCATATGGAAGGTCGATTTTTAGAGCTTTAAGGAATCGCCACACTGCTTTCCACAGAGGTTGCACTAGTTTACACTCCCACCAACAGTGTAGAAGTGTTCCCTTTTCGCCACACCCTCTCCAGTAGCTGTTATTTTTTGAGTTGTTGATAATTGCCATCTGACTGGAGTTAGGTGGTATCTCAGTGTGGTTTTGATTTGCATCTCCCTGATGATTAGTGAGGTTGAGCATTTCTTCATGTGTTTGTTGGCTGCTCGGATGTCTTCTTTTGTGAAGTGTCTGTTCATATCTTTTGCCCATTTTATAATGGGGTTCTTTGTTTTCTTCTTTTCAGTACGTTTCAGTTCCTTGTAGATACAGGATGTTAAGCCTTTGTCAGACCTAGAGTTGGCAAATACTTTTTCCCAGTCTGTAGGCTGTCTCCCTGCTCTCTTGATGGTTTCTTTGGCTTTGCAGAAGCTTGTCAATTTAATAAGGTCCCACTTGTCTATCTTCTCTCTTATGACCTGTAGGTGATTTTTTTTTTTTTTTAGTAAGAATATTTACATCTGGCTGGGCATGGTGGCACGTGCCTGTATGAGACATATTGGGAGGCCAAGGTTGCTGGAGGCCAGGAGTTTAAGACGAGCCTGGACAACATAATGAGACTTCACCTCTCCTAAAAAAAAAAACTGTTTAAGAAAAATTCAGCCAGGCGTGGTGGCATGTGCCTGACAACTTGGAAGGCTGAGTTAGGAGGATCACTTGAGGCTGGGAGGTCAAGGCTGCAGTGAGCCATGATCATGCCACTTTACTCCAGCCTGAGCAACAGAGCATGAGAGTCTGTCTTCAAAAAAAAGGCGCTTACCTTATTGTGGTAGAACCTGTATCTTTCAATACACCAATTAACTACCTGTTAGGAACTAAACACATTAAGTTAAACTCAGGGGCCCAGTTTGTTTTGCAACATGCATGCAGTGAATTGCCTAAAATTCCTTGATTAACTTTCAAGATATTTAGTTAAAAGTGGTGCTGATATGATCGTAGAGGTGGACTACTGTATCTGTTGAAAGAGGGAAATTCTTAATTTGTTCAGAAAGCCCTTCTGCAACCTTGATTTCAGTTAACCATTTTATGAACCTGTGTCACCAGTGATTGCTTTCACTGGAGTAAGATTCTTTAAAAAGGAAGTGCTAACCTGAGAAAGTATGTTTCATTCTATATGGTGGTTGAGAGTTTGGGTTCTGAAATGAGACTACTTGGGTTGAAAAACTCTAGCACTTGGAGTATCGACGTTGGTCATTCTCTGTGCCTGCGTCTGTTTCCTCATCTTGAAAACGGGGGTAATGCTGCTGCTTACTTCACAGGGTGGTTGATGTATACTTGCATGTGGAAAATATTTGATGTTATCTAATATATTTATATTTCTTGGGAAAGTCATATTTTACTAAATGTACTATTTTAAAATGGACTTTTACTCTTAACAGCATATCAGCCTGGTGTGACGGCTCACACCTATGATCCCAGCACTTTGGGAGGCCGAGGTGAGAGGATTGCGTGAGCCCACAGGTTCGGGACCAGCCTGGGCAACTTGGTGAGACCTTATCTCTACAATAAGTAAAAAATTAGCCTGGCATGGTGGCGCACGTCTGTAGTTCCGGCTCCTTGGAAGGCTAAGGTGGAAGTATCTCCTGAGCACAGCAGGTTGAGGCTGCGGTGGCCATGAGCATGCCACTGCACTCCAGCCTGGGTGACAGAGTGAGACTCTGACTTAAAAAAAACAAAACAAACAAACAAAACCCAAAAACCAAAAACAGCGTATTAAGAAAAATTTTCTTGCCAGTAAATAGTTACATAATTTAATGACTGTGTAATATTCATTATGCTGTTTGCCATCATTTACTTAATTGATTATTATTGTGCACATGAATGTGTACCTGTTATTTTGTTCAATGCAACAATTTTTTTTTTAAGTCAGAATCTCACTCTGTTGCCCAGGTTGGAGTGCGTGGCCACCTCAGCCTTGACCTGCTGGGCTCAGGGCGATCCTTCTACCTTTGCCTTCTGGAACCATAGGGGCAGGCACCATGTCCAGCTAAGTTTTAAAAAATGTATTGTAGAGACACGGTCTCATCAGCTTGCTCAGGCTGGTCTTGAACTCCTGGGCTCAAGCAATCCTCTTGCCTCCGCCTCCGCCTCCCAAAGTGTTGGGATGACAGGCGTGAGCCCTGGCGCCCAGCCTTATTGCAGTCTTTTATAATACCACTCTTGCTGTGAATCTTTGTGTAGTGCTCCTGTTGCAAGCAACAATAATGAAAACATACATATAAAATTATGTTGTTTGCAAGTTTTCTGTAAAACTTACATTTCATTTTGTCGTTTTTATTTTGTGTTCGGAAGTTGAGGGTAGAGGCTGTTTCTTGGAGCAGAAAGATCTGAGTTGCTGCCATATGTCAGTGGTCAGGAATGGTGGACATTAATTGATGTTTTTAAAGCACTGGGCTATCTTTCTGGAATTTGTATAGGAATGTTACCCTGAACTTCAGTTTTATGATAACACAAGATCAAAGAACATGCAGAGAAATCTACTCTTTTCAAAAATAGCTTATACAGCTTTTGAGTTGCAGGAACAGTGTTATAAAATCTTTTTTTGTGGAGTGAAGGAAGACTGGATGTCTGATTTTTTTTTTTTCTCTCAAGCAGTCTCATTCCAATCAGCAGTGTAATTGGAATGCAACTCCAATCTGGAGGAGGAAGGGGAATTTTTGGCAAGGATACTGAGCAGTTGGGGATTTTATTCAGATTAAGCATAGACAGCCATTCATTATGAATATAGCGCAGTAAGACTAGCACAGCATTCTGTTTCTACAGCTGGGATTTACTCTGATATTATTACATGGTGTGTTGCATATAGATAACGCCTCTCCAGCCAGAAAAATAAATTATTGACTTAAATGAAAATGGTAATATTCACCGCCAGCTGCACTTCTGCAAATGGTTTTCTCCAGCTGCTGCCTCAAATGACATGTATTAAAAGATTTTTGTGAAATGTGAAAAACCTCGAGAAAACAATACGAAAATGCATATATGACATGGCATTTGAATTATGCCTGACCTGTGAGCTCTGAGGGCAAAGGACTGTGCCTTTCTATCTGTAGAATCTTGGTAGATGGGCACTTGGCACCAGGCGAGCGCTCAGGGAATGCTGACTGAGGGAGTGCGTGGTGCAGGCATGCTCCCTCCTCTTCCCTTGACATCCGAGGAGGCATGGCTGCGTCTGGACGCCCCCTGGCTGGTCTTAGCGTATCTGATTCCCTCCTCTCATCGTTTCAAGCCGTCAGGACTTTGTAGAGGGGATGAGCAGAGCAGCCAGAACCAGCTAGACTTCGAGGATGCGGACTTTAGAAGGAGTTTGAGGAGGGTAGTGACGTGACTGAAGCAGTGGAGGAAGGGAGCCTCCACTGCAGACTGCTCAAGCCATTGTCCCCAGTGGACTCTGCAGCACAGAGTCGGGGCTGCGGGCTGTGTAGTGCTACATCTGTAGTTGGCATTAATCAAAATGGACAATCGCCTGCTAACTATCTGTAGTCAGGTGTAATGCTTGAGTGCGAAAATGGGGGAAAAGCCATTGGATTATGTGTTTCAGGTTTTTGTGCCTTTTTGTGGGTCTCATTTCAATAGAAAGCTTACTGAATTGTAGAGGTACTGAAGTGCTGATAGGGAGTACTTGTTCCTTGTCTAGGAGAAAGTCCATATTCCTTAGCCTTTGTTCTGGTCCCACCCACTTTAGGGAGGTAGGTGTTTCTCCTGCTAGGTCCTTCCTGTGATCCAGCCCAGCAGTTCTCAACATTATTTTTGTCTGTCTCCTTTAAGAAACATTTAGGAAAATGGAACTTCCCCTCAAGGCCACCCCTCCCTAGCCCCCCCATCTTAGTTCTCTTTCCCATAGTTTCTGTTACAAAAAAATGATAGATTTATTTTCTTTTGATATAAAATCACCTTATAATAGTGCATGTACATCCTCCAGGAGATAGTGATACAGACCTCCTTAGCTGAGAATTGGTTATGGTGACATGATCAGGATTGTGTCATGTTGACACTAGTGAGTCTCTGAGCATTTGCTGGGCTCCAGTAATTGGTATTGAGGATGGAAAGGCCAAGGACCCTGGTCCCTGAGGTGAATTCCCAAGACTCAGAGCAGTGCAGTAGAGGCTCCAGGGTGGGGAAGCGGCTTGTTTTATTGACACAGATAAAGCTACCAGTTCTCAAGGTCATGTTTAACAGCCTCCCTTTTAAAAATCGCAGATAAGAGGTTTTGCTTCTAGGGTTTAAATAATTTAAACAAAAACTGACTGGAGCTACTGAAATCCAACATTAAGCATAGCAGTCTGACCATCCTGGTGTTTTTTTGTTTTAAATTAATCTTATTTCCTCTGGGACCCTGCTGATTTTCCTTAATTTCTTGATTACTAAAAGTCAGTTTCGTTTCATAAACTTTGAATGTGATTAAAGTTATTTGCTCTTTTGACTTTTCAATGATTCTCTGAAACAGACATTAGCAGCATCTTATTTGTGATTTTTCAAAGAAAGTTTAACATGATGACCACATAAGTATGCTTTAATAAAGAGAAATGATAAAAATAAGATTTCATAAGTCAAAATTATGATTATATAAGAATTGGTACTTTATTTGTTATATAGTATAAAAAACCCCCTTAGGTTGCTTCGGAGGCTATTTCATTCATTCCACAAATACCTCTTGAGAGCCTGTCTCGTGTCACATGCATGTGGCCTTGGTGCTGGGGACACTAAGGTGAGGCCCATCTGTGTGGAGCTACCTGCCTCTTGGCGTCGGTGGCACCTGCACTTCAGCAGTCACACGCAGTGTGGTGTGCGCCTGGGCTGGGTGTGACTTCTGTGAAGATGAGGACATGAGGAGGCTGGGAGAATGGAGCTGGCAGAGGAGCGGCCTGAAGGCTGGAGGTGGGCGGTGAACCCCTGGGAAGGGGAGAGATGCGTGTGGCTGGGCCTTAGGCTGGCGGGCTGGGGGAGCTGCGAGCAGAGAGAGCAGCATCGGCACCAGTGTTCGTTGGGGCCAGGAGAGCTTTGGCATGTTTTGAGGATGGGAGGGAGAGAAATGGATGGAAACACTTAACTGGATTTTTATTAATTTTTTTATTTTTATTTTTTTTTGAGTTGGAGTCTCACCCTGTCACCCAGGCTGGGTACAGTGTCATTCTCATGGCCACCACAGCTTCAACCTGCTGGGCTCAGGTGATCCTTCTGCCTCAGCTTTCTTTTTTTTTTTTTAATTTTTTTAATTTTTAAAAATTTTTATTGTAGAGATGAGGTCTTGCCCAGGCGGGTCTCGAACCCTCGGGCTCAGGCAATCCTCTCACCTCAGCCTCCCAAGGCGCGGGATTACAGTCTGAGCCACCGAGCCCGGCAGCCAACTGGATTTGTAGAAAGACCACAGGGGGTCCAGTGTAGAGAGCTGGAGGGCTGTGAGGCCTGAGGTGGGGGACTGATCAGGAGGCTGTAATTACCTAGACAGCAGCCGATAGTGGCCTGGACTGAGGTGGTGGCTCATGCTTGCAATCCTAGCACTTTGAAGGGCTGAGGTGGGAGAATTATCTGAGGCCAGGAGTTCAAGACTGGCCTGGACAACAAAGTGAGACCTCTGTCTCCACACTGCTAGCGCAGTAAGGGGGAAGGGCCCATTGGGTGGACTTGGCAGGTAGGTCCCCACAAAGAGAAAAGAAAAAGAAAAGGAAAGGTGGTGGCATGGTAATGGAGAGAAATGGACAGATGAGGGCTGTTTCAGAGGCAGAATTTATTAGAGTTAGTAACTGCCAGGAGGTGGGAGGAAGAGGGATGGATGGTGAGGATTGCTATGGAGGTTTCTGATCTGGGCAGAGCTAAGGGTGGGGCTTTTTTTTTTTCTTCAGATTTAGGTGTCCTGATGACCATAGAGTAAATTGTAAAGACCAGGGAGACTATATGGAAAAGGGGTTCTTCAAATTTTATTTTCCAAGACAGAAGAAGAGTTCTGTGAGTCTATTTAACTGTCAGGGCATGGTGGCTCATGCCTGTAATCCCAGCACTTTGGGAGGCTGAGGCAGGAGGATTGCTTGAGCCTAGGAGTTCAAGACCAGCCCGTGCAACACAGGGAGACCCCATCTCTACATAGCCAGGCGAAGTGACCTGCTCCTGTGGTCCCAGCTGCTTGGGAGGCTGAGGCAGGAGTAGGAGTTGGGAGGCTGTGGGGAGCCGTGATTGTGCCACTGCACTCCAGTAAGACTCCTACTCAGGGAGAAAAAAAAAAAAAGAAAAAAGTCTGTTTAAACTATGAACTCTCTCAAAGGAAAGATGTGTATTCTCTCCCCAGAAAAATACTCATAGGCTGGGCTCAGTGGCTCAGTCTGTAATCCCAGCACTTTGGGAGGCTGAGGCAAGTGGATTGCCTGAGTGGGTTCAAGACCATCCCGGGAAACTTGACGAGACCTCATCTCTACAATAAAAATGAAAAGTCAGCCAGGCATGGTAGTGCGCGCCTGTAGTTCCAACTACTTGGAAGACTGAGGCAGAAGAATCGCCTGAGCCCAGCAGGCCGATGCTGGGGTGGCCATGAGTGTGCCACTGCACTCCAAGCCTGGCGACAGAGTGAGACTCCAACTCAAAAAAAAAAAGATCACACAAAAAAACTCATAAATGTAGCAGTTGACATATAATTCCAAAACTGGGTACCCGCGACTCTCAGGTTATACAGCGGAAGGGGACACAGAGCAGAGTCAGGAGTGACCCCAGCCTGTGGCATGACTGAAGACCTGGCCAAGAAAGGATGTGACCTGTGCCCTGTGTAAAGCCACGTGAATGGCTTTGAGCAGAACCAGAAGAGGGGGTGGTCAGTAAGCGCAGTAAGGGGGAAGGGCCCATTGGGTAGACTTGGCAGTTAGGTCCCCAGGACTTCGGAGCAGTGGTTTAGGGCTGTGGTGAGGGAGGAAGGCAAATTGCAGTCAGTGATCGAGGGATTAGTGGGAGGTAGAGATGTAGAGTCCAGAAGTGTAGACAGTTCGTCGAAGAAGCATCATTATGAGAGAGAGAGGTGAATGATGGCTGGGGGAGCCTTGGGTCAGCCTTTACATGATGGCAAGGCAGTCAGCAGTGGGGACAAGACAGAGGTAGCCTGTGGACGTGGAAGGCTAGAGGTGTGATCCTGGGCCCAGGTAGAAGGATAGTCTTAGGAGAGCGAATAATGCACAGGGAAGGAGGAAGAAAGAAGTGAATATGATATCAACAAGTTTGCAGGTGTGCTGGCAATAAGCTGGAGGAAATCTCATGTTTTCTGTTTCTCTTAAGTCAGAGGTGAGATCATTTCTTGAATCATAGGGTAGTGGTGTAAAAAGCATAAAATCACAGCCGGGCTCGGTGGCTCAGCCTGTAATCTCAGTGCTTTGGGAGGCTGAGGTGAGTGGATTGCCTGAGCCCTCGGATTCAAGACCCTCCTGGGCAACTTGGTGAGACCTCATCTCTGCGATAAATCAAAAAATTAGCCAGGTATGGTAGCGCATGCCTGTAGTTCCAGCTACTTGGAAGGCTGAGGCAGAAGGATCGCCGGAGCCCAGCAGGTCGAGGCTCCCGGCCACTGCACTCCAGTCTGGGCGACAGAGTGAGACTCCAACTCAAAAAAAAAAAAACATAAACTCATGGAAATTGAAGATTTTAATTGGATTTGTGTGTATATGTGTGTTGTGTAGTATTGATCCTGAGTATTCTTTTTTAAAATTTGAGTCAGGCATCTCTTGTTGCCCAGGCTGGTGTGCAGTGGCATGATAACAGCTCATTGCAGCTTCCACCTCCTGGGCTCAGGTGATCCTTCTATCTCAGCCTCGTGCTGAGTGACTAAGACTACAGGCTCACATCACCACGCCTGGCTAATTTATTTATTTATTTTTTTGGGTAGAGGCAGGGTCTCACTATGTTGCCTTGGCTGGTCTTGAACTCCTGGGCTCAAGCAGTCCTGTTCCGCCTTCCAAAGTGCTGGGATCACAGGCATGACCCGCCATGCCTGGCCGATCCTGAGTATTCAATTTATATGATAACAGTTTGAGAAGGAGTTCTTCTAAGTCTGGATTATGATTTAGTATTCTTAGTTATGTCTCTGGTTTGCATGGTTGGATAAGACATGGCCTAAGGGACTCTGACTAGTAAGTCAATGCCTTGTTCTTATTTAATAATTTTATTTATTTACTGATGACATCTGTCTTCAAAAGGATTTTTATTTGAACTTTTAAAGTGATTAGTTATTTGTTTAGACTCCTTTCCAAGTTTATGTCAAATGAGTTTTTATACACTAAGCTTCTAATAATTGTAACTAATTGAACAGTTCATTTAAACTGTGAGTAGAAGTGGGTAGAAAATCAAACATTATATCATAGATATTTTATAAATTAGCATTTAAGTATATGAAAATTGGCATTTTCCTCTCTTGTATCATTTGAATTGGATAAGTTTAAATTTATGATTCTGTAAGCAGTAATTTTTAAGTTGATGTATAATTCACATACTATGACATTTATTCTTTTAAAGTGTGTAGTTCAGTGGTTTTTAGTATATTCACAAGGTTGTGCAAATACCTATGCAAGTAATTTAACACAAGGTAACCTGATAAATGTGGATATGTGATATCTAGCTTTAGTGTGTTAACGCTTAATTCTTAAAAGATACAGTAGACCACCCTGAACAATGATCATAGTACTGTAAGAAAGGAATCGCTCGTGGGAAACTCCCTAGTGGGAAACTGCCAGGAGTGGGGGGAGTGTGGCACACTTCATCAATAAGGGCACCTGATCTCAAGCCAGGTGAAGTGGGGACCAAAGTGAGGCCCAGATTTTACCTGTACAATGACCATTTTTTACCTAACCCTATATTGTACCCCACATCTTTAAAATTAAAAAAAAAAAAAGATACAGTAGACCTATCTTGTCACTGAGCTGAGGATTTATGGGAAGGTAATTTACCTTTCCTGTGAAGTTTCTGTGGCATTGAGATGAGAACATAACTTTAAAAAAAAAAATCTCTGTATCAGGAAACCTTTAATTTATCTTTATTTGTGATCCTCTTCAATATAAGATTATTTCATCCTTAAAATAGATATGACAACCTGACTTTATGTATCTCCTAGTTGAAACTGTTTTATCCATTGCCACTGAGTTTCTCTTGAGAATGGATACTGATGCAAGATAAGGAATTTAATTCCTGTCTTATTAGAATATCAGATTTATAAACTGTCTTGCCCTCAGCTGTTTCTTGTGATCCTTGCAAAAGTTACAACCGCTGACTCAGCTGTCTTTTGTTGACTAGTATTTAATGAAAGTATGTGATCATATTTCATACCTTGCTGTAGTTAAGGCTTAATTATCCACTGCTGTTTTCAGTGTTTTAAAATGTAACAGTGCATTCTTACCATTTTATTTTAATTTTTCCCATGTACTTTTTGTTTCCTTTACAGTACTCTGTGCAAAAAACCTGGTGAAAAAGGATTTTTTCCGTAAGTAAATTAACTTTAAATATAAATCTTGTATATTCTGCGTAGACTTTTTGGACAGCATTTTCAGAATTGTCTGTTTTAGGGATTTCTCTATTCAGAAATGTACCCAGTGTCATGTCATACATGTTTGGTTCAGAGCCATCTGGCATGCCACTGTTTAGAGGATTTTGTGCCACTTAGCCACGGTCCCATTCCTGGTGTTATACCTCTCCCACATGCTTGTGGGGGGTGTGGTGTGTTTGTGTGCAGGTGTATATGTTCACGTGTGTAGTGTATATTGAAGGTTTGCATACTACTAGAATGCTAGAAAAAGTTTGAGACATTGTTTTGTGAACAGTTTTTTCCTTTTTTAAACTTTAAGGGAAGTTTTACCCGTGAAGTCAGTATTCACTGGAAGGTAGGAAAGTCTCCGAGCCTGCTTGGAATTTGCAGAGTGTAGGAAAGAAATCTCTGCCACATCTGATCTGTGTCGCAGACTCCAGGGCAGAGGTTGGGCGTGTATAGTGTACTTACCAATCTACTGTGGAATCGTTGTGGCTTTATTTAGGATTATTTAGGATTTTATGAGAGGATTGGGAAGTGCTCATCATAGATGTCAATAGTCTTTCTCCTGTGATTTCATACCTTGTAGTAGCTTTACATTATTGATGAAAAATGATAGCACTTTTAGTTAAAACAGGTTTTTATAGCCAACACAATTTAATATGGAAAATATTTAAAATTGGAGTAGCGAAGATTCATTAGATTTTAAAATTCCAAAATCCTACTAGCCAGAAAGAACAGGCTGTGTGTGCTGTCTATTTTCATGTGACAATAGTTTAATGAGAAGAAATAAGCAGCTCTCGATGTATTTTAAAATTGTGCTTAATTCATTTCACTTGAAATTTATGACTTCCAGTTTTTCCAGCGTAGAGCCTGGATTATGGTTTATAAAATAGTGTCTTATAAAATGGTATAGTTAAGAATTTTTATGGCTGTCTTTGTGCTCATATGGGAACTCAATTGAATAGGACCATTTGGAACATAGGAAGAAAACGGTAAGCAGTCTTCAGTTAACATACCACTGCCTTCCCCCAGAAGCCTGTCCCAGTGGCCGAGCCTGAGGCCAGACCTCCCCATCCCTCTCTGCTGCTACCAGTCACTGTTCTTTCCCAGGCGCAGCTGGCTCATTCTGTTGCTGATAGCAGAGGTGTGCTTTTTATGCCATCCTTACGTGGGAGTGCAAAGTGGGGAATGGGATTGGATGGGCTGGGGGACAGGGTCGGGAGGAGGGGAGGGGGGTGAGAGCAGCTGCTTCTCTGCCCACTGAGACCTCTGCTGGGTCTGAAGACAGTCTCCGTCTGGTTCCCCGGCCTTCCTGGGTAGATTCCTTTCCATCCTCTGGAGCCTCAGATAGTTTGGTCTCAGCTTTTCTTTTTTTCTTTTTTCTCTTTTTGAGTTGGAGTCTCACTCTGTTGCCCAGGCTCCGGCGATCCTTCTGCCTCAGCCTTTCAAGTAGCCAGAACTACAGGCTCATGCTACCACGCCCAGCTAATTTTTTTATTTATTATAGAGATGAGGTCTCGCCAAGTTGCTCAGGCTGGTCTTGAACCTGCGGGCTCAGGCAATCCACTTGCCTCGGCCTCCCAAAGTGGTCTCAGCTTTTTTAGGAAGTCTAGAGGAGTCTTAGTTTTTTGTAACTCTCCAAGAGCCGGTTGTTATTCCTTATATGGTCTTTATCTGTCCTTAAATTGTAGGTGAAAGAAAGAAGAAGCTGGGCGTGGCAGCTCACGCCTGTCATCCCAGCTCTTTGGGAGGCAGAGGCGAGAGGATTGCCTGAGCCCAGGGGTTTGAGACCAGCCTGGGCAAATTGGTGAGACCTCATTTCTACAGTAAATCAAAAGATTAGTCGGGCATGGTGGTGTGTGCCTGTCATTCCAGTTACTTGGAGACTGAGGTGAAAGGATCACCTGAACCTAGCAGGTCAAAGCTGCAGTGACCCTGTGTCACTGCACTCCATCCTGGGCGACAGAGTGAGACGTCTACTCCAAAAAAAAAAAAGGCAGGAAATCTTTTCCCTTTTTTATCCATCTAGACAGCAAAAATTGATAAAAATTCTAAGAGTATGAGCTTGCATTAGGGATAGAAGATTAGGGGACTGTGTGATTATCTTCAAAACTCAGAATGGGAAAGGGAGACAAAAACCCTGCAGAGGGGAGTCAGCTTGGGGGAGTAGCTCTCCGATTCTGACTAACCAAGGTTCCAGATCCCTCCTGTGGTAGATTTACATGTGCACTTAGGAATATTTTTGACCTGGTTACAAGTTAAGGTTACCCACATTAGTCAGAGAAAACTAATAATTCCTGAATTGTTTAATTAAACTTAATGCGTGTGTGTTTATTGGTCAGTTATTATTTATGGTAAAATATAGTTAAGTTTTTGCTTGTAATTTGGCTGAAATTGTGTTGAATGAGAAAAGTAAATTTTAATATGAAACATGACAATAGGGTGATGAAATAGATAAAAGTCATTTAGGACCAGTTGGGTTGGTTGAATTTTTTTTCCTCGATCAACAATAAAGCTTTGTTTTCTTTGGAAGGTAACACATTTTTAAGCTGAAATTGTTATTTCGTTATTTGTAACTCATCAAGTGCATTCGTGGAGTATGGAGGTTCTTGATATTCAGCAGTTTTATATGACCCAGAATTGATGGGGAGAGTGGAGAAATTTTTTAAAATACAGAAAATTACTTTAACCACTTTATGCTTACCACTAGGGGTCTCACTAACTTCAGAAAACTTGATGGCTTTTGACCATATTAGAGTAATTTGGCTCTTGAGCTAAATTTTTGTAATAATAGAATCAGGCTAAGTTGAAACCCAGGTGTTTTTTGTGAAAGCATTGAATGTGTATTGTGGCTTGTATTATTTAACAGAAGAAATACATAGGAGGCTGGGACTCAGACTTTCCTACTTCATTAAGGATCTGAGAACACACCTAGAGTTTTGTGTAGAAAAATGTTGTTTTTTTCTTAATCCTTAATTCTTTTTTTCCTTAGATACATTTTATGAATCTTATGAGGCTTATAAATTTACCAATTTTGAAAGGGTTTTGGAATTTTGTAATATTGCATTTTCTCCCCCTTTTTATTTTAAAGATGTGGGGTACAGTTCAGGGTTAGGTATACAAATGTTCATTCATTATGCAGGTACCCTTGTTGATGAGGTGTGTGCCCTTCTCTCCCCTGGCAGTTTTTCTCATGTGCCAAACTCACCTCCCCCACACACGGTTTCTCACTACTGCCAGTCCCTTTCTTATAGTATGGTCATTGTTCAAGGTCTACTTATGAGTGAGAACATATGGTACTCTGTTCTTTGTTTCTGTGATAGATCACTGAGTATGATAGACTCTAAATCCATCCAAGTTGCTACGAAGTCCTTATGTTTGTCCTTTATGGCTGCATAATATTCCATTGTGTATATGTACCACATATTTTTATCCAGTACAGTTTTGATGGGCATCATGGTTGGTTTCACATTTTTGGTATTGTAAATACAGCTGCAACAAACATGTGTGTGCAGGTATCTTTTTGGTGGAATGATTTGAGTTCCTCTGGGTATATTCCGCATAGTGGGACTCCTTAGTTCTTTAACTAGTTATATTTCCAGAGGGAAAGCTATAAATGTGATTTTAAAAAATTTCATTTTTTGCTTACAAATATACATTGATATGTTTATTTAGATAGTAGAATCAAGAGAACAAGATAGAATGAGTTCTTTCCAGGAGAAAATACTTAGTGTTTTTGAAGGTAGAGGTAAAAGTATTCTTCCATTAAACACATTTAAAAATGGTTTGGTGTTAATGAAATAGTATGACTAGTACTACACTTCAAGAACAACATAGTTAAATAGATTTGATACCCTAACTTACCAAGTTTCTTTAAAACTTAACACTTAGATTTTGGTCTTCCATTATTATTTGAAGATCACAGAATCATAGAATCGGGGAACTGAGAGGTGTTTCCTCCTGTCCTTGAATCTTGGCAAATTTTAGTATCTTGACAGAAAAAAATTAGCATAGATAGCAAGACTGGGAAATTTCTTTAGTCATCAACACCACCATTTTGTTCTAGTATTTTCAACTTGCCACAGGAAATCCACTGTATGGCTAACATGTAGATTGTCACTTTTTATCTTGTTAACATTTTTAGTTCCTCCTTTTTCTCCTAACAACGTCTACATTTTTGTCAAAAGATACTATTTTATTATTGCTTTGGACTGAAAACTTGGTGTTATCTTTGAGTGCCCTGCTAATTCGTCGTACATCTTCCAGAGTAGTTCTTTGAACTGTCCTTTCCCTTTTCATGTAGCTTTCCCAGTTTGGGGTCTCATCCTACCGTTGAGTCATTATGGCAGCATCATAGGTGGGCTCGGGCCTCTAGCTTTTCCTTCTCCTTGGGTGCCTCAGTATGACTACTGGTAGAAGGAGGACTGTCCACACCAGCTCCAGACCGACCGCGGCTCTTGGATTGGCCTCCGCCAGTCTGCGCCCGGCTTTCTGATGCTGTTTGCTTTCACACGTAGCACAGGCACTTTGGTTGGCTTCTTCCAAGCCCCTGACACCACCCTGTATTGCCACATCCTCCGTGGCGCTCTTCACGTTGCTGGGAAAGTCCTCCTCTTCCTATTTGTTCTGTAAAACCCAGAGGAGCCTCCTTCTCCTTCCCTCACTGAAGCCCTTTTTTCACTGCTTGAATTCAAGCCGTCCTCCTGTTTTTCTGAGCTCTGCCTTGTAGTCACTGCTGAAGCTCCTAGTAGATGGGAGGTATAGTGTCTAAGAGCATGAAATTGAGAGCCAGACCGTGTGTGTGGGTATGTGTCTGATTCCTGATCCAGACAATGGCTTTGCCGCTTACCGCTGTGTACCCTTGGGCCAGTCAGTTAACTCTCTTGTGCCTCAGTGTCTTCATCAGTACAGTAGGTATAACAGTGTCTGCCTCATAGGATTGTTGCCAGGATTAAAGGATATATGGAAATTACTAGATACAGTGTTATATTTACATTGTAATCAGGACCAGAAACACTTATTTATTCTCAGGGTTTTTTTTTCTGTGTATTTTTATTTTCCCAATTAGACAGTAAGCTCTTTTAAGGCATAATATTACATCTTTTGTTTCAGCCAGCCTCTCATCACTTGTGGTCATTATTCAGTATAAGTTCTTGACTGATTTGATTTGTTTGTAGCCCATGATCCCGGGTGAGAACCTTTAATAATGTCTTTCTTTAAATGAGCTGCTAGGAGACAGTAGGGAAGAGAGAGCCTTGAATGTACTAAGCATTCACCTTCCTGGAGTCAGCAAAGGGGTGATGATGACCTATGAATATAAAAACTTCCACATTGTGAGGTGGCCTCTAGACTTGGGTAGATAGGAACAAAAAAAAAATAGTTTTAGTGTTTAATGTATACTTACCTTTAATGTTTGTTTTAAAATAGACATTATGGCTAAATGTTAAACGTTTTGAAAAGAATTATAGATTGGAATAATCTTTTGTTTTGTAGTAAATGGTAATCTTTATATAATTAACCTATCTCCCATGTCAGAATGTTCATTAATTTTAAAAACCGTCCCCTTTCCCACAGGGCTTCCTGATCCATTTGCTAAGGTGGTGGTTGACGGATCCGGGCAGTGCCATTCCACAGACACTGTGAGGAACACCCTCGATCCGAAGTGGAATCAGCATTATGACCTGTAGGTGGAAGCAATCAATATAGGAAACGAGATGCAGAATTAACATTCCTTGATGCAGTCTTTGAAAAGAGTCGTGGGAGTTGTCTGAGTTTCGTCTGTCTTGTGGTTTGGTCTTCCCAGAGGGGGTGCATGCCCAGTGAGGAGGTGCGTCGGCTTATCGTGGGTTTGAAGGTGAGGTGCCCAGCAAGCCTGAGAGGAGCAGAATGAGGTGGGCACACAGCATAGAGCAGTTCCCCCTTGTTTCCGTTAAATATAGGCGTCAATTCAGTTTAGGCCGATTATCAATACAAAACCTTAAGTCACACTTGGGGTTGCACGCAGAGGCCTTCTTTTTGCTTCTGTGCAGGTGACTTTTTTCCTTCTGAATTTTGTTGTAATCATGGCGTGCACGTACATTTTGCAAAAGACAAGTGATACTTCAAGGCTCTTGTGGAGAACAGCCCCTCCCTGCTCTATGCTCATTCCTGATTTCCGTTCACAGGGTAGCTGCTTTCCTTACTTGGGCTGCATTTTCTTCTGTTTCTAGATTTGTGGCTTATCTTACAGCATCACTTTTCTTTTCTTTTTTTTTTTTAGTTTTAAGGATTTAAACACTTCCTACCTGAGGAGATAATTCAGCTTTTGAAAGTGGCGTTCTCATCCCCATTCCCACCACACTTGCATGCGGCTTCCTTTCTCCATCCCTCAGCATAATTATATGACCTTTTTTTGTTAAATCTTTGTGCCGTGTTTGCATTATTGTGATGATGTAAATATCCATAGCAGGGCCAAGTTGCATTTTCTTTCTTGACAACTTTTGTTTTTAATAACTGCTTTTGCTATTGTTTAGTTTTCTGTCTCTCTCATTAATTCCCAGACTCCCCTTTATGTCGAGTCCCATCGGGTGTTCCGTTGGCTTTGTTATCCCTAGGAAATCCCCAGAGCCTCTGTCCAGCCTGGCAGTGGTTCCCTAGGACCTGCTAAGTACTTGTCCTGGGACATGCCTTTGTCCTTCTGTTGGGAAGTTCTTTTGTCTTTTCTAGGTCCAGTGACTTCCTGTGGTTTTTTTGTTGTTGTTTGTTTCCTCCTGTTTTGGTAAAATCTGTCTTCCATTGTCATTTCGAGAAAGTAAAGAGATGGGAAAAACTTTTTTGAGATCTTATCTGAAAAGGCATTTTGTCTTCTTGCATGAGAATAGACTTCTAGGTGAGCTATCACTTCCCCTGCAGGTGCTGAATACGTTGCTGCTGCTCCGTGATCTGCTAGGCCTAGGTCAGTGCTGACAAGTAGAAATATAATGTGAGCCATACATAGGAACTTGTCTTTAATTTAAAATTTTCTAGTAGCCACATTAAAAGAAGCAAAAAGAAACAAATGAAATAAGGTATAATCATATGTTTTATTTAATTCAGTATCTAACATATTGTCATTTCAACAAACACTGAGCTACTTTGTATTTATGTGATAATACATGTGTATGCACATATGTGTTTCAAATTAGGGGTTTATTTTCAGCCTCTCTCAGTTTGGACTAGCCACATTTGTTAATTAGTTAATTAATTTTTTTTTTTTTTTGGAGACTAGGTCTTGCTATATTGCCTATGCTGGTCTCAAACTCCTGGGCTCATGCAGTCCTGCTGCTTGGGCTTCCCATAGTGCTGGGATTACAGGCGTGAGTCACTGCGCTTGGCCTCGAGATTATGCCTTTTAACCGCATTGAAAGTGCTCATAGTCTTGTGAGTGACTGGTGGCTACTGTTTCGGATAGCGCAGACTTAGAGTATTGCTGATGGGTCTTTTATGACTTGTTTTCAGCTGGAAGATTTCAGGATGTCTTCTTTATCCCTCAGTTACTAATATTTGTTATTGTCCTTTAAAAAAATTATAGTCATTGTTGTGGGCGTGAAGTGGGACCTCCCTGTAGTTTTGATTTGTGTTTCCCTGTTAACTGATGTTGAGCATCTTTTCATTTGCTTATTAGGTTTTATTTTACAGTTGATATTAACTGGCTACCAGGAACTTCTTTCCTGTTTCTAACCAGGGTGCTATGTTGGAGGGGAAAAGGTCAGGGAAACACTTGGGGTCATTTTGCAGAATCTTTGCCTTTAATTGGCTAAGTCTACAGACAAAAGCCTAATAATTAAATTTTAGCCCAAAATCCTGAGTGTATATATCATATTTGGTCTATATGGTAATAGTAATATTGGATTTGCTTATGAGGTATCCCTTTCAATAGAATGTCCTGAAACTTGTTTATACATCATATATTTGTTAGTGAAGCCCAAGTATTTTTTTATTATTTTTTTTGAGTCAGAGTCTCACTCTGTCACCCAGGATGGAGTGCAGTGGTACGCTTACGGCCACCATGAGCTCAGGCAATCCTTCTGCCTCAGCCTTCCAAGTAGCTGGAACTACAGGCGTGTACCACCACACCTGGCTAATTTTTTGCTTTATTGTAGAGACGAGGTCTCACCATGTTGCCCAGGCTGTCTTGAACCCCTGAGCCCTCTATTTACGAGAGGCAACCAAAAAAACCTGGAATTAATTTTTTTGGAGGGCAGTCCCATTGTAGTACCGGCTTTCCCTGCTAGGTAGGTGAGTGTTTAGGAACCCATTGGCATCAGTGTACCAGCTAGCATTGTTGTGAGAGGCTGCGTTCAGCTTCAGTGAGTTTTTTCCTGAGATTCTTTCAACACATCTGCCCCTTTCACGATGAGCGATTTATGAGCACAGCTGCCCACACCCCGTCGCGCGTTCAGCAGTTTTTGGCCCAAATGGCACGACCCCCATGCCCATCCTCCCTGTTCACGGGCTCTCTCCCTGAGCGACTTTTGTTTTGTTTCCCTGGGTGAAAAAAGTTCTCAAAGGGAAGCATTTTGCCGGTGTGGAAGAGGTGAAGCAAAAACCAGCAAAAGCACTAAAAACATCAAAATGGACAAGTTCAGAAACTGTTTGGACCAGTGGAAAAAGCTTCTCAATAGGTGTATTGCATCAAACAGAGTACTAGGAAGGTGACTGAAGTTTAAACATGCAAGAATAAATACACACTTTTTAATAAATAAATTTGGTTTTTCTGGGGTTCCCCCTCAGAACTTTCTTTTCTTTTTCTTTTTTTTTTTTTTTTTAAGTTAGAGTCTCACTCCATTGCCCAGGCTGGAGTGCAGTGTCACGCTCATGACCACCCCAGCGTCAACTTGCTGGGCTCAGGTGATCCTTCTGCCTCCACCTTCCAAGAAGCCGGAACTATAGGCATGTGCTACCACAGCTGGCTAATTTTTTTTTATTTATTGTAGAGACAAGGTCTGGCCAAGTTGCTCAGACTGGTCTTGAATCTGTGGGCTCAGGCAATCCACTCGCCTCAGCCTCCCAAAGTGCTGTGATTACAGGCTGAGCCACCAAGCCCTGCTGGAATTTACAATTATAAAAGGATTAACTTGTTCTTTTATGTTGCCATGTTTGTTATATTACGAGGATTTCCTGAAGGTGAGAACTTATATTTCTCTAGGTATAAGAAATACTAGTATTTCTGATTAATTTTTGACCCAGGAATATTTGGGCAGAATGTTTGTGACATGTCCACTTTAGTACTACAATATAATTCATAATTCTGAGTTCTAGTAATTCAGAGTTAGGCTGTCTTCTAGAAGTCCATCCTTAGCAGATGTTTATTGCAGTTTAGTGCAATGCTTCCCAACTTTTCATATTCTGGTACACATTAAAAATGTGCACAGTGTGCACCATGGCACACTGTGCTGAACAGATGAAGTTCTTGCAGAAGCCCATGGGGGCTACCCTGAGGCCTGGGTGTCACTATTCAGCATACCTGAAAACAGGCTTACTAGCTGGGAAACTGGTTCAATATGTTTTAAAAAACATATTGGGGTGACTTAGCTCTTAAACACATGATTGTGGCTCTAGAATTTGGACATGGCGTGCATAGATACATGCCATGGTAGATCTGGTGGGTGTATTTGAAAATTGGTACATGGATACTGAATGATGTTTTACTCTGGATCTTATCATTTGCAAACAACAGAGACTAAATGCAAATGAGCTTCATTTTAAGAAAGGGAATGCAAGTACTTTTGTAATTAAAGGCCCAGGAGTGGGCATTTTTTAGGCACAACTGGGTCCAGGGGCTCAAGTGTGCCTTCCGTGTTTCTTATTTAGAAACTTTCCCCTCATTTACGTGGTTTAAGGTGTTTCTGTATGCTAAGTGAATTTTTCAGATGTTGCTGTTTTATTGAGTAATACTTTAAGATCAAGGTTGCTGGACCAAAAATTTGACCTCTTAGAGTTATTGAAATGGAGCTAGGGTCCTCCTGATAGAATTCTGTCACTCTGTTGTCTTTTTGCATGGGTGGAGCTTTCTCATGCAGGCACCGCACAGACAGGACAGTCACGCTTTTCCCTGCTCTGCTTGTCTGCAGGCAGCGAAGTGAACCTCTACGAGTGCTGCTTACTCAGGCCTGCACACAGGAAGACGCAGGGGAAAAGCGTTACAAGCAGCTTTTGTTCCACAGCATTTAAAATATAGCAGGTAGGTCAGATTTTTGGTCTGTCAGCCTTGACAATGCCCCTGGAAAAGTAGGTTGTATATTTGACATGTATTCAAAATGTGACTGTGATACAAGCTCTTTGAAGATTTTCGTTCTTAGAGAGAAGTAATCACTGTAAACTCCCTTGATTAAGTTATAAGACACTAGCTACTAAGATAGCTTTTTACTAGCAAAAATTGTTGCCCATGTTGAGAGTGGCAGATGTGATAAAGATACACTTAAAGTTATTTTTTAGGTTTTACTTTTATAATTTAAAACTATTTAAATTCACTTTTGTGGATTGATTGAACTCAAAATGTATTTTGCATGATCTAGACAGACTCTGAAACATATTTGTGATTTTAGAATATAAAGAGCACACAGAAAAATCTTACACCACTGCCTGTAACTGCCAGGTTGCTCATGCAGGTGTTTTGTCTTTAGGTATATTGGAAAGTCTGATTCAGTTACAATCAGTGTGTGGAATCACAAGAAGATCCATAAGAAACAAGGAGCTGGATTTCTTGGTTGTGTTCGCCTTCTCTCCAATGCCATCAACCGCCTCAAAGACACTGGCTGTGAGTAGACAGACACTCTTATTTGTTAAATTTAAAAGGATACATGTACGAGTATTTATGTTGGCAGGGTTCCAAAGGCATAACTTCCTGTGTGTATCTGAAGCATGGGTAAAAAGTCCCCTGGTCTAAATGTATTCTGTAGACTTTAAAAAAGGGAAACATTTAAGTGTGTGAAACCTAGAGCTGAATTAGAGCTGATGCTTCACTTCCAGTGAATTTCTGAGTATTAAGAAATGATTGTCATTCCGAAGAGGGAAAGGAAAGGTGTGAAGGCATATATGCCTTTGAGATGTCTAACATCCTTCTCTGGTCTTGGCAGATTTGTGAGATGAAGTGAGTTTTCATTGAGTGAAAGTGTTCTTGGAGTGTTGAAGGTGGCAGTTAAAGGAGAATTATTGAGGAGTCAGAATGGTGCATGACATACGGAAGTGCTGTGACACAGTCAGAAGTTATAGGAAGATTAGGTAGTATTTTGAATGCAAGACACGCTGTACTAACCACCTAACCATACCTCAGTTTATTACCAGCCTGGACATTTAGAAGATTAGCCCAAGGGCATGACATTAGAAGTGATTTTCATAATGGATTGACAAGTTGACTTGTCAATTATATGCATAATTCATGTAACCAGCTGACAAAGAATGGGGGGGGTCCTTTGCATTGGGATGTGGACAGAACTATCTTTTTTTTTCCCCCCCAGAAATATCTTTTTCTTTTTTCTTTTTCTTTTTTGAGTTGGAGTCTCACTCTGTCGCCCAGACTGGAGTGCAGTGGCCACTCCCAGCCACTGCAGCCTCGACCTACTGGGCTCCGGCGATCTTTCCGCCTCAGCCTTCCAAATAGCTGGAACTACAGGTGCGTGCTACCACGCCCGGCTGATTTTTTGATTTATTGTAGAGATGAGGTCTCATCAAGTTGCCCACGTGGGTCTCGAACCTGCGGGCTCAGGCAGTCCACTCACCCCAGCCTCCCAAAGCCACCGAGCCCAACTGGAAATATCTTTTTCAACAGATTTTTTGGTGTTTGTTTTTAGAGAATTATTTTTTATATAATATAAAAGATATTGTTAGCCATTGTTATGGTATTAGTCCCGATGCACATGCTAAACACATAAACTCTAGCTAAGGAAATTAATAAACAAAAAACAGAGTAAATTTAGCATGGACTGTTAACTATATTAAGAGGTGGTTCCTTTTCATGTAGTGTGATGTCATAGCCCAGATATGTAAGTATTGATCTGTTAAAAAGAAGGGAGAAAATTGAGCTAGAAGTTCTGAGTCTAAGGAATTTTAAAGGCATCTGAGAAATTCCTACATTTCTAGGCTGAAGAGTGACCAATTGGAAAGAGAAGACACTGGGATGAGAAAAAACAAACCGCCTATGAAAGTGAACTGTTTTATTCCCCAACCCAGCAGGTAGACTGAAAACTTAGAACTCAGATGCCTGGCATTATCCCTGGTTCATTTTGTCCAGCATTTATTGAACCCTCGGTATGCCAGGCACTGTTGTAAACCCTGGCTGTGTCAGGGTGAGAGGGCATGGGCCCTGTGCTCTGAAAACAAGGCCAGAGGCCTGTCGCAAGGGGTGTACTGTGCTGCAGTGGCTGAGCACTAGAGGGTTGGAGGCTGAGCAGAGGGGAGGGCTTGTTCTGTGGAAGGCCACGGTAGTGGCAGCTTAGGAGTGCCCGTTATTTTTGGCTGAATAGTCAGGGGCTGTGTGGTTAGGGCATGGCTGTTTCTTCCTGCTGCTTGTGAATGTCTTGTTGTATTAACTTGTTTGACTTTTTTCGTGTGTGGTCGTATTTATCAAATATGTGTTGAACACCTGATGTGGTGCTCTACCAAACTGGAATGGAGAATACAAAGACTAAGACACTGTCTCCTCCTTTTATCAAGTTCCAATTGTTTAAGTAAACAGATGGCACACACTAGTAAAAGAATTTGGGCCAGGTGCAGTGGCTCACACTTGTAATCCCAGGACTTGAGAGGAGAAGTGCTTGAGCCCAGGCGTTCAAGACCAGCTCGGCAACATAATAAGACCACGTCTCTACAAAAGATAAAATAATTAGCTAAGCATGGTAGCGTGTACCGATAGGCCAGCTACTCTGGAGGCTGAGGTGGGAGGATTGCCTGAGCCTAGGAGATGGCAGTTGATGTAGTCAGTATCATGCCGTTATATTCCAGCCTGGGCTACGGAGACCCTGACTTAAAAAAAAAGAAAGAATTAAGCTATAAGGACAGAAATCAAAGAAATCAAAGGAAAGCCAACATGCGGTGGTGACATTGCACCTTGCTATAACTTCCAGGGCTCACAGTGTCACGCCTGTTTTACAGTGAGGCATCTGAGAGAACATGTGAGTTGCTCCTAAATGAGTCAGTGGCAGAACTGACTTGAGCCTAGTTCTTACAGTTTATTCTTGTCTTCTTCTTAATATTTATGTTTTGTGTTTGTCATTTGAGATTATTAGGTAAATAATAATGTAACAACTGGCATTTATCAAACACATATGTGCCAGGCACGATCCTGAGATGTTTTTGTGTAATGATCTAATTTAATCCTTAACAAATATGAGGTAGTTACTGTTGTTACTATGAAGAAAACCAAGGCTCAGGGATAAATTGCTTAAGACCAACAGCTATTAAGTGGCCTGCCAATGCTCAGCCCGGAGTGGTCCTAGAGTCTTGGAGAGAAAGGAACTCAGTGTTGGTGATGTAACCATATCGGCATTACTGAACCCTTGAAGTGGCAGGCACATACTTTTGTTTGTTTTTTTAATTTGTTTGTTTGTTTTTGAATCAGAGTCTCACAGTGTCGCCCAGGCTGGAGTGCAGTGACATGATCATAGCTCACTGCAGCCTCGACCGCCTGGGCTCAGGTGATCCTTCCACCTCAGCCTCCTGAGTAACTGGGACCATGTGTTTGCATCACCACATCTGGCTAGTTCTTCTTTTTTCTTTTTTCTTATCTTTTGTAGAGACGAGGTCTCATTATGTTGCCCAGGCTGGTCTTGAACTCCTGGATCAAGTGATCCCCCCATTTTGGCCTCCCAAAGTGCTGTGATTCTAGGCGTGAGTCAGCACGCCCAGCTGTTGTTTCATGATTTTTGAAATCTGCATTCTTTAAGTGATAGGTTTGATTTCCAATAGATTGTGGAAATTTGTCGCTCTATAGATGTTAGAATCTCTGATACCATCTAACTTTTTAATATATATTTTTGTTGTTGTTGATTTCAAATAGATCAGAGGTTGGATCTATGCAAACTTGGGCCAAATGACAATGATACAGTTAGAGGACAGATAGTAGGTAAGTGTGGAATTTAAAGTTATATGAATTGTGGCTTCATTCAAACTGACCTAGATACCTTTTAAATCAAAGTACGTATTTAATTAAATATGAGCCATGTAAAATGTTACAAACAGTGAATCTAGGGTCCAGGTTAGCTTAACTTTTAAAACTGTAATTAAAAATATTGCTGCTCCTAGTTTTGTACAGAACTCTTGATCTTTTAGGAAAGAATTTTATCAAAGTTTAAATATAGTAGAGCACTGAAATAGACTTTACAGATGTTATGTTTTCTGAAAATAATTCTCAAGCTAGTATCTGAGTAAGACTATTCTATTGAACCTTTGTTTAATGTTTAATGCCTTACAGTTCTAAAATCTGTGCCAATTGAAAAAATTAGAATGAGTAATGGTGGTGTAACACTGATTGGAGAAAGGGAGAACTTGTTACCTTTACATGTAAGTTACTTAGTGGCTGGGGATGGTGTTTAGGCTCTCTTGAATTGGCCTGGAAGGAAGGGCTTGATAAGGAATTTCCTGAGACCTCTCTTAAGAATTGATGGATTGAGATTTGATCAAGATGGGTAGTTTGGAAGGACACTGGCCAGGGTACCTTGGAAACTTCTTAAGCTAAAGAAGGAAACTGCAATGGGAATCTTATACTTCATGACAGAGCAGAGTTTTTGAACCAATTGTGAGGGACTTCATTTTACAAGGCAAAGAACTGGGTTCATGTTCACTGCCAGAGCAGCCACATAACAAAGACCTATTTCAGTTAAATTCCAGGAAGTGTCTACACTACAGCAGCATTGGTAATTCCTGTCATTCTTAGACGGAAAATGGGGAAAGCCAATCTCAAAAATAAGTCCTGGCACATGAGACTTGTACTTGTAGTTGTTCCTACTGTATTTGATTTGGTATATTATGTAGTACTTGCCAACTAACGTCCAGGGGTCACAAAATAGTTTTACTAGGTATAAGTTTGCATTTATATAAATAGCAGACTTTCCTTTGCTAGACATAAGAAATATACCTACTAGAGTATACTGCCTAGAAAACAAATATTTTACTTTTAACTATTTGTATGAATGTGTGTGTGTATATATTTATTTAAAGCCCTTGCATGGATCTGGTGTTCATACTAGAACCATAAATGAGAGAGAGGCAGGCTGGACTCAGACATTAGGACTTTGTTCTGTCATTCAGAACCAGACTGAGTTCCAGTTTTTTCAGAATCAGCCCTCCACAAATGTGTGTGTGTGTGTGTGTGTGTGTGTGTGTGTATACATATACATATACATATACATATATATATATATATTTTACAATATCTTTTTTGGAAAATGGAGAAGAGTACACTAGAACACTTAACTTTAAAAGCAGTATGTTCTCTTCTAGTACCTTCTATTTTTTCTTGTTGTTGTTGTTTTGAGTCAGGGTTCTACTCTGTTGTCTGGGCTAGAGTGCCAGAGTACAGTGGCATAGTCATGGCTCACCACAGTCTCAACTTCTTGGACTCAGGCAATCCTTCTGCCTCAGCCTCTTGAGTAGCTGGGACTAGAGGTGTACATCAACACATCTGGCTATTTATTTTTATTTTTGATTTTTGTAGAGACGAGTTCTCACTATGTTTTTCAGGCTGGTCTTGAACTCCTGGGCTCAAGCCATCCTCTTGCCTCGGCCTCCCAAAGTGCTAGGATTACAGGTCTGAGCCACCATGCCCAGCTCCTTATCGTATTTTTACATACATGCATATGTATATATTTTTATGATTTTAATTCCACTGAACATAAAATTTTTATTTAGCTTTCTTTTACTTACAATAACCATTTTTGGTATTTGAACATGCTCATTGTAATTAATGATTTTTAAGGTATGAATTATATAGATACAGCACAGCTTAATCACTGAACTTTTATTTTTTGCTAATATAACATTGAGACTTGCCAATGTTTTTATATACTTTGCTTTATCCTTTTCTAGAATTTTTTTTTGGGGCAGGTCAGAGTCTTACTCTGCCATTCAATTTGGAGTGCAGTGGCATGATCACGGCCACTGCAGCTCTGACCTGCTGGGCTCAGGCAATCCTTCTGCCAAGTAACTAGAACTACAAGTGCGCACCACCATGCCCAGCTAATTTTTTTGATTTATTGTAGAGATGAGGTTTTGCTAAGTTGCACAGGCTGGTCCCGAACTCCTGGGCTCAGACAATCCTCTTACCTCTGCTGGGATTACAGGCATGAGCCACCATGCCTAGCCATATCCTTTTTTAGAATTGCTGTTTTAGGAAAAATATCTTTGAAATTGAGGTGATTGATTCAAGGAGTAAAGACCTCTTCCCTTGTGTTTAAAACTGTTACTTGGCTCTTTCCACCCTTGTGACATTTTTCTTTTTTGTTTTTTATTATAAAATCTAAATATAGACAGAGAACTTTAGAAACACACATCACCAATTATCATCTTGATATATACCTTTTCTATGTATTTTTTTAAAAAATGAGATTATACCTTGTGCAATTTAATATAACCTGTTTTAGTGTCAAAAACATTTTGTTTTGATCCATGGATACACCTCTGTAGCATTTAAAAATATTGCATGGTAGTCCATGGTTGGCATATAATTCATTTAATCAGCCCTTTATTGTTGGCTGTTTAAATTGTTTTAGTATTATGAACAGTGCTTTGGTGAACATAGTATTCCTAAGATTCATTTTATATGTTACTCAAGTTAGGCCATTGAAAAAACACCAGGCTGGGCATGGTGGCTCACGCTTGTAATCCCAGCACTTTGGGAGACTGAGGTAGGAAAATGACTTGAACCCAGGAGATTGCCTACCAGCCTAGGCAACATAGTGAGACCTTGTGTCTCTACAAAAGAAAAAAAATGCAAAAATTAGCCAGGTGTGGCGATGTGTACCTGTAGTCCCAGCTACTCAGAAGACTGAGATGAGAAGATTGCTTGAGCCCAGGAGGTTGAGGCTGTGGTGAGCCAGGATTGTGCCACTGCACTGTAGCCTGGGCAACAGAGTGGGACCCTGCTAAAGTCAATCAATCGATCAATCAAAATAAAAAACACCCAAAAGTTGCTGAAGTGTTTTGTAATATAGCATTCTGGAGCTATAAGTTGATGTCTGTGAAATTCTTTAGCTTTGAATCTTAAGATTATTCTAAACAAAGCTAATGAGAAGGTACATTGTTTCTACTGTGATTGTATTTTGGTAAGCATTTCACTTATTTTAGTTATATAAAACCTGCTGGACATAGTTTTCTAGTACAGTTTTCATGTAACATGTTGTTTACATTCACTGAGGAGGTGTGTTACAATGTTCTCTCTTATAAATGGAACTTACTGTAAAGGACCTTTGTGTTGAACTGTGTGATTTTTCAGAATTTTGCAGAGATGGAGAATCTCAAAATTTTGAGACCCTTCCTTGAATAAAGGGTCCTTATATGTTATACCTTATGTGGTAACTTATTAATTCTTTTAAGAAGTTAGGTTATAGTCAGGTTTGTCTTTACCTCTTCTATTTTTGGGGGAAAGTTACCAAATTAATACTAGAGCAGCAAGGAAGGACTTCAGGGATAGTATGTAACCTGACTTTCTCATTATTTATATAGAGAGTGTGTTAGGTGTCTGTTCAAGGTTATAGTGCTAAGCTGGTTGGTGCACCTGCTCTGGAGTTTATATCTCTTGCTTCCCAGCTTATAGTGGTGGTTTTATACTAACTGGGTGATGGTGTATTGTTAAAGCACCTGGAATCCAAGCTTGTTCTCTTGCTGGAATCCAAGGATTTCCCTCTTGCTAGAATCCTGTATGTTTTAAAGATGGTTAGATGATCAGGAATTAGACTCAAATTAATGTTAACTTTTCAAACTCCTTTGTGCATGAATATACCCTTGATGTATTATGTCTCTTCTGAAGTGCAGTAGTGACTTTACATTGTAATGTCTTGATGGTACAAAAGGAATTAGACTCTTCTCCATGAACATGATAAAGTGTAGAAAACAAACTTCTAATATCACTTTTAAAGGGAAAAAAAATCTATGGGAAAATAAATTACAGATTTTAGTAGAAACCAGGGAATTCATTCTAAAGAATTAAAATAAGCTAAGCCAAACGTCTTCTAAAGATAGACATTTTAGATTGTAGTGCTTCTTTCTTGTCCTGTGACTCTCAGTGATATCTCTGTTGTTTGATAGTAAGCCTCCAGTCCAGAGACCGGATAGGCACAGGAGGACAAGCTGTGGACTGCAGTCGTTTGTTTGACAATGATTTACCAGACGGGTAAGCTAACATCACTCAAGTCATTAGAGAAAGAGGTACATGGTGTCCTCAAAAGAAGTAGAAATAAGGTTGTGTGTATTGTGTACTTAGCTTTCGAAATTGCATGATCAGTTCCAGAACGTAGGTTTCCTTCTACAGATGAGATTAGTACAACAAATTTACAAAATAAGACATTGAATTAGATGTTTTAAAGAGTTTTAACTAGGAGAGAAATGAAATGGCTTGATAGATATACTCTCCTGCAAATATTATCTATTTAATTTAATTTAATTTTTTGAGTTGGAGTCTCACTCTGTCGCCCAGGTTGGAGTGCAGTGCCACGCTCATGGCCACTGCAGCCTCTCTCTATTGGGCTCAGGTGATCCTTCTGCCTCAGCTTTCCAAGTAACTGGAACTACAGGCATGCACCCGGCTAATTTTGTATTATCTATTTAAAAGAAAAAAGCTTTTTTCCCCTCCTAAGACAGCATCTTGCTCTTTTGCCCAGGCTAGAGTACATCATGGCTCTTTGTTAACCTTGAACTCTTAGCCTCAAGCCAGCCTGTCACCTGGGTCCCCCAAAGTGGTGGGATTATAGGCATCAGCCACTGTGCCCAGCCTATAAACTACCTCTTTTGCTGGATTAAATTATTCAAAATAGAGCATACAAGTGCTGAGTTTAGCCGGGCTCGGTGACTCAGCCTGTAATCCCGTGCCTTTGGGAGGCTGAGGTGAGTGGATTGCCTGAGCCTGTGGGTTCGAGACCCGCCTGGGCAGGCGAGACCTCATCTCTACAATAAATCAAAATATTAGCTGGGCGTGGTAGCGCGCACCTATAATTCCGGCTACTCGGAAGGCTGAGGCGCAAGGATCGCTGGAGCCCAGCTGGTCGAGGCTGCAGTAGCTGGGAGCGCCCACTGCACTCCAGTCTGGGCGACAGAGTGAGACTCCAATTCAAAAACAAAAAAAAACAAGTGCTGAGTTTGAAACATTGCTCTATTTAGAGGGATGTGATAGAGAATTTGGGCAATGTTAATTATAACATGTAACAATTATTGAGCACATGTGTGTCAGATACTTTTTTTTATTTTGAGTCGAGGTCTTGCCCTGTCGCCCAGGCTAGAGTGCAGTGGCATGATCATGGCTACTGCAGCCTCAACCTCTTGGGCTCAGGCAATCCTTCCAACTCAGCCTTCCGATTAGCAGGGACTGTGGGCACATGCCACCACACCTGGCTAATTTTTTTTGATATTTTGTAGAGACAAGGTTACATGAGGAACTATAGGTGTACATCACCATGCCTTATACAAGGTCTTGCTATGTTGCCCAGGCTGGTCTCTAACTCCTGGAGTCAAGCTGTCCTCTTGCCTTGGCCTCCTAAGTGTTAGGATTACAGTTGTGAGTCACCATGCCTGACTCAGATATTGTTATAAGAACTTATATACATTCTATCATTTAATTCTCATAGCATCTTGGAAGTCAGTATGTAGCATGTGATTCTGAAATTAGACCACTTGAATTCTGTCCTTACTCTCTGCTTACTGGCTTTATGACCTTAATTTATTTACCTGTGTATGCTTTAGCTTTTATTTATTTATAAAAGAGGATGATTGATAACAGTAAATGCATCATAAACTACAAATCATTCATGTAAAACACTTTAGCATAGTGTCTTGCACATAATCAATGCTTAATAAATCACTAGCTACTATTATTTCCATTGCTACTACTGCTGTTACCCTTGTTCATTTTACAGAGTAAAAAAAAAACTGAGACTCAGAGAAGTAAAGTAATTTGTCTAAGGCCACGTAGTAAGTGACAGAACCAGAATACACAAACCTAAGTTTCATGATCTTTTATTTACCAACCAGTTTTCTCAAGTTGAAAGTCTCATGGTATTTATCACTGCTCTTGTCTTTGTTTGATACTAGTTCTAACACTTTTCTGATTTTATTTTTAACTTTCAAAGTATTAATTACATTCAGTGAGATACAATTTACATACAATGAAGTGCATCCATTTAAAGTGTGTATCTGGTTGAGTTTTCACTCATTTTGACTGACTGATTGATTGATTGAGTTGGAGTCTCACTGTGTCACCCAGGCACGCTCATGGCCACTGCAGCCTCTACCTGCTGGGCTCAGGCAATCCTTCTGCCTCAGCCTTCCAAGTAGCTGGAACTACAGGTGTGTGCCACTACACCCAGCTAATTTTTTGATTTATTGTAGAGACGAGGGCTCGCCATGTTGCCCACGGGTCTTGAACCCGCGGGCTCAGGCAGTCCTCTCGCCTTGGCCTCCCAAAGTGATGGGATTACAGACTTGAGCTACTGTGCCTGGCCTGACTCATTATTTTTGATAGGAAAGTTTACATCTGACTTAAGGTACTTGTTCATTTTGTTAAACTGTTAAAAAATAGCTATCATTAACTATTTATAGATCACTTTAGCTTCTGGATATGTCTGTCAGCTCTTTTGTTGATGTGCAGGAGCTGATGGTATTTTTGAGGAGGAAGTTTCGGATGAAATAATCAATGTTGAGAGAGTACAGCAGTGTAAAGCTTACTGTAGACTTGCCCTATACCACTGTACTGTCATTACCATTCTCTATTACCATCCTCAGGGGAACCCTAGCATCTCTTTGTTTTCTGTTTTTTCATGTCTTTCAACCTCTGCCGATATCTTGGTAGCAGTATCAACATGACCACATCTCTATAGTCATTTGCCTGCTTTTCAGTATGTGAGCTATAATAAAGAGTTGAGGAAAAGTGACATTTTTGATCTTTAAAATGTAGTTTAGGTAGGCTAAACACTTCAAAAAGCTTTCATGTGTTTTTCTAGTGGAATTTAATTTTATAAATAATTATGTGTAATTTTTATTTTTAGACCACCTGAGTTCCAATCCTTACTCTTCTGCTTACTAGTTTTATGACCCTAAGTAATTTTATGACTAATTAGGTTTTTAGGATAGTTGTTTTGCACAATATTTTGGAGGAATTAGTATAATTTAATTGAGTGTTGTTGACATTATTGAAACATTTTCTAAGTTTGTTTGATGGAAAATATTTGTCGTACTTCAGTGTAAATATTTTAGAAGCTTCAGAATTCCACAAAATATATTGTGCAGTTCTAAAATAAGTTGAAAAAATTCTACGTTCTGTGAATTGCTCTTTTAATGTGACATTCTGAGTTATAACAGTAGATGCTTGGTTATTGCACCGAAAGCATTCTCGTCCCAGCTTCCTATTAATGCCTTGTCTCTCAATAATTTTGCTTAAGCTGGGAAGAAAGGCGAACTGCCTCTGGAAGAATCCAGTATCTAAACCATATCACGAGAACTACGCAATGGGAACGCCCAACACGGTAAGAACATACACGTATTTTCCATGGTCTATGCTAGCCACCCTCCTAGAGTCCCTTTTTGTTTTTCTGTCAGCTATGCTAGATTGTTTTTTCTTGGTTTATACTGCTGTAGATCTGCAGATCTCATAGCAAGTGCCGTTGTTGTTGTTATTATTATTATATCTCCTTATCATTGAACTTGACATTATTATTTATTTTTAATAAATAATCAGCCGGGCTCGGTGGCTCAGCCTGTAATCCCAGTGTTTTGGGAGGCCGAGGCAAGTAGATTGCCTGCAAATTTGAGACCAGCCCAGGCAACTTGGCAAGACCTTGTCTCTACAGTAAATAAAAAAAGTTAGCTGGGTGTGGTAGCGCTTGCCTGTAGTTCCAGCTACTTGGAAGGCTGAGGCGGACGGATCGCCAGAGCCCAGCAGGTTGATGCTGGGGTGGCCATGAGCGTGCCACTACACTCCAGCCTGTGGGACTCCAACTCAAAAAAAAAAAAAAAAAAAAAAAATCTTTGATCAGGTGTGGTGACTCATGCCTGTAATCCCAGCGCTTTGGGAGGCTGAGGTAGGACAATTACTTGAGCCCAGAGAGTACAAGACCATCCTGGGTAACATAGAAAGACTTTGTTTCTACAAAAAGTACAAAAGTTAGCCGGGTGTGGTGGTATGTGCCTGTCATCCCAGCTACTCAGGAAGGATCTTTCGAACTCAGGAGTTCCAGGCTGCAGTGAGCTATGATTGCGCCACTGCACTTTAGCCTGGATGATAGAGCAAGACCCCATCTTTTAAAATAGGTTTTAAAAAGGAGCTTCAATAAAGATTGTTTGACAGGTCACCCTGTTACCATGGCTCCAGGTCCTGGGATAGTGCTCAGTAAATATTTGTTGAGTGAGTAAAATGGATAGTTGAGGAGTCATCATATTTCTGGGAATCATCTTTTTTTTTGAGTTCACATTTGAGACTGTTATTGAATGACTTTAGTGAAAAAAAATACACACACACACACACACACACAGATATATATATATATATGTATATATGTATGTATATATATATGTATATATGTATGTATATATATGGTCTCCATTCTTTCATTCACATAGGTGGATGATTATATCATGTTGCGTCCAAGTAAAGTCTGTGGTCAAGCTAACCAAATACTCTGGGGCCATATGGAGGGGCACGGAGATGGTAGAACTCGCAGAGGAGAGCCTGTAGGAGGGCGTTCTCGGGAGGAGAGCTGGAAGAATTGCAGATGCAGTCCCTTTCTTCATGGAGCCTAATGTGTAAAGACAGCCGCAGTAACTTGTGGGAAGTGTAAGGAGGTCTTTCTGAGTAACTGAAAATGGGTAGATAAGTGACTGAGCAAGGCTTCACCCTCTTTAAAGTAAGAGCAAAGTTTGCTTGCCATCTTGCTCAGTGTTTTGTTTTGCTTTTTTTCCCATCTCCTGAGCAGAATTGGCATCAGGTATAGAATATCGTTTTCTAGGCCTACTTTTTATCTGTTGGGAATTAATTGCTGAACTCATTGAATCACTCAGTTTTCTCTGTTACGTTATGATTCTCAAGTAGAAGCTTAGCTCATAGTGCCATGTTATAAAATGCTGCTTTGAGAGTTGTGCTTCTAGTACTAAACTGTCGAGGATTTTATTGAAGTGGAGGTATGCATTTTTATAATATCTGAGTATAAATGAATGTGTACAGTGCTTGTGTCTGTGTTTAAGTAAGCCTGTTTCCTTCTAACTCACTTAACTGATAAAATTAATTTTAATTTCCACATGTTTAGAACTTGATTATTGTTTTAAATGTTTAAAAATAAACTAGTGATTTTCCTTTTATTTTGGGAGAGCTGCAGTAGACTGGAAATTCCTTGGAGAGACAAACTGTCTTCTTTATTTGCCCAGTCAGCATTTATTGAGCCACTCACATATGTATGTTAAGCACTAGGTCCTGGGAATCTTCGTGATAGGGAATAAACTAGACAGGCTCTCTTCTCTCAGAAAATTTTCCAGTGGAGAAGACAGACAAAAACAGGTGCCAGTAAACAGGAAAAATAATGGTTGTTCTGTGGACCTAAGGTGATGTCCTGTCAAATAACTGGGTGACTTTTCTAGACTAGAAAATCTGAGGGACCTTTTAGGTGACAACAATAGACTGATTTGAATGACAGAAAGAGCCAGGCCCAGGGCGAGTGGGAGAAAAGAGTATTCTAGGTGGAAGGAATAGCCACTGCTCTTAGGTGGAAGGATTTCCCATCGTGGCGGAAACACTGGGGAGGGAGGGTGGCGGAAGGCGGGTCTGCGAGGTGAGTTGGACCTGGACCAGGCCGAGCTCGGTGAGCCAAGACTCATGCCTGCAAATATTTGTGGAATTTACATGAAGCAAAATCTACATCAGTGTAGAATCATGTAGATACGTAATTGATGGCATACTCATCACTTGGGTGTCTGGTGCTTAGAGATATTAGGTTTGCTTTTACTCAGAATTCTTGAATCATTATATTTGTGTGAGTCCCTCCACTTTCATTCATAAGTGATTGTTATTGCAGTATATGCATTGTTTAGAGAACTTTCTTTTTGATGTCTACATTGGTAACGTCTTCTCCTTGTTAATTTCCAATAGACCGGCATCTGAATATTCTAGTCCTGGCAGACCTCTTAGCTGCTTTGTTGATGAGAACACTCCAATTAGTGGAACAAATGGTGCAACGAGTGGACAGTCTTCAGACCCCAGGCTGGCAGAGAGGAGAGTCAGGTCACAGCGACATAGAAATTACATGAGCAGGACACATTTGCATACTCCTCCAGACCTACCGGAAGGCTATGGTATGACAACTAGCAAAGGGAAAATAAAGTGTGTTTACTGATTTCAGCTCGCTAAGGAAGTCAGACAGTCAACTTTAAAAAAGTTTTAAATCTGGGTTTAGGGGTTGTATGAAAATAAACATAAAACCTCCCTACTTTGAAAAGTCCTTGAAGTGGTAGAAGAAGACTACTTAACCAACGGTTTGACGTTGGCGAGTCATTTCACCTCAGATTTTGTGCTCTTTTTTAATGAAATGAGGTCCTTAGAGGAGCATGAGACATGGCAGAGGCTGTCCTGTGAGGGGACACTCTGTGAGGGCGGGTGGCATAGTTAGGATAACTGTGGGCATCTGAGATCTGACCTGCCATCCATTTTCTAGACATACATATTGAGAAATACTTTCAAAGGCATACTTATGATGGTATTTACACGTTATATTTGTATCCTCTATATTTTTGGGTTATCTGAGTGATTGGACTGTTGTAAATGGTTTAGTCACTTCTATGTTTGCATAAATGTTGATACTCTTACCCGAGTTCCTAGAAGTATAGGATGTCATGTGGAAGATGACCTGAATCTTCTCCTAGGTGCCTACAGAACTTTCTGAGCTAATCCCATCTTGGGAATGCTTGTCTGTGGTATGAACTCACTGTCCTCTCCTACACCCTTGTCTGCTTATGCTGACTGAAGATAACTAGTGTTGGACTGCCAGGGACACCTAATGACCAGCATTGGGGACTGCCCAGTCTGGTTTTAATTGTTACTCAAGCATGTGTTTAAGCCGTTCTGCAAATGCATGGTTCTGATTTTATTTTTAAATGTATTTCAGCTTTTTAGAAAAAATATGTCCATCAACTGTGTTCTGCTTCAGAGGCTCATCAATAGTACAGTGATTAGATGATTGGCTTGGGTGACAGGCAGACTTAGGTTCATCTCTCGGCTTTGCCGTGGAGCACTGAGCCTTGGTTAACTGCTGAAGTTATTCATTTTTTTTTTTCCTTGTTTTGAGTCAGACTCGCTGTCACCCAGGCTGCAGTGCAATGGCATGCTCACAGCCACTGCAGCCTCAACGTGCTGTTGCTCAGGTGATTCTTCCATCTCAGCCTTCCAAGTAGCTGGAACCACAAGCGTGTGTCACCATGCCTGGTTAATTTTTTGATTTATTATGGAGATGAGGTCTCACCAAGTTGCCCAGGCTGGTCACAAACCCCTGGGCTCCTCTTGCCTCTGCCTCCCAAAGTGCTGGGATTATGTAAGCCACTGTGCCCGGCCTCAATTTTAATCTCTATAAAATTAGGAAAATAACAGTACCAACTGTATGGATTTGTTGCAAGAAATAAACGATGCAATCTCATGTGAAATGTCTGGCATAAAAAGCACTTAGTACACTTTAGCTGTTGTTATCAATGTTCACACCTTAAAATAATTTGTCCCCTGCCATTTTTATATAATTGAAATTATAAGGAAGGCTGTTTGGAGTGGTAGTGGTAATACTTTACAATATTTGCGTGGTTTGGATTTTAAAAAATTGTTTACAACCAAAACATAGAAATAAAGCGGATACCAAGGCTGAAATTATTATAGCTGCCATTCTTAACCTATTTTAAACATGCTTATGTTTATAATTTTTAAAAGTTTAAAGTTATTGATTATAGGTTTATAAACAAATTAGGTTTATACTGATACATATTAGCAGTATATTATTTTTTATATGTTTAAATTTCTTATTAGATTTTGCTTTAAAAAAGTGGTTTTGTTGCTTTAAAAAACCAAAAACCAGAAATCACCTGCAGAAGCTCTGTTGCAAGATCCTTCTCATCTTGCCTCCCTTTTCCTTGCCAAGGGCTCTGGGTTCACTTCACCTTAACTGTCTTCTGCTCAGTGTGTGTACTTGCTCTGAGTCCTCTCCGTTCTAACTGGGTTATTTTCCATTTTTACCCACTCATGGTAGAATGGCCCTCTGCCTCTCATCTGCTTTGCTTCTCTTCAAACCCAGATGTAGTCTTGAGAATACACATTTCTCCAGAGAAGAGAAGACAAATGTTTTGGTATAAGGTTAGGCAGAATAGACAAGCACAATCAGCTTCTATACCCTTCGCCATCTTCCCAATACTGGCCAACCTCTTCCTCTGAGGCCTTGTTTTCTCAAGTCTCCACATTTAACGCAAGTAAAAGATCGTTTCTTTGTTGTTTAATTATTGGTATTGTGACAACCTTATTTTCCTTTTTTTGCTGCAGTGTACTTAGTATTGAGCCTCATTGTAAGGTGAGTTAGCTTTCAGATAGCTGGCCTGTGACGCTTGTCACCGTTTGTAGGATTACTTCCACAGACAAGTCTTGATTTGTGAGGCCCTTTTTTTTGTAGATTGGTAATCTGTAGATTTTTCCCTATTAGTATATCCTCTTAGTATATATGACTATCTTCAAACTGAATGTTCTGAGTGCATTCTTATCATTAGTGTTTATTAATTTTACAGAGCAGAGGACAACACAGCAAGGCCAAGTGTATTTCCTACATACTCAGACTGGTGTGAGCACGTGGCATGACCCACGAGTGCCAAGGTAAGAGCATATCTTAAGTTCTCTTTGTGTGATTGAATGTCCTCTTCACCTGGGAGTTCTTTGATTTTCTTTTTTCTTTTTAATCTCTAACTTCTAAAAATAGTTGATGTAAAAGTTTGGCTCTTTGAATGATAGTCATTTCAGTTTTTACATTTAGTAGACAACCCTACCTACTTCTTTACAGTACCACCCCAGGCCTCCTTCTGTCCCTGCCTAGGCCTTAGCCCCTCTCCCTGTCTCCTCTTTAAAAAAGTGGGGTGGCCAAGTGCGGTGGCTCACACCTGTAATCCCATGCACTTTGGGAGGCTGAGGAAGGAGGATTGCTTGAGCCCAGGAGTTCAAGACCAGCCTGGGCAGCATAGCGAGACCTTGTCTCTGCAAAAAATAAGAAAATATTAGCCAGGCATGGTGACAGATGCCTGTGGTCCAGCTACTTGGGTGGCTGAGGTGGAAGGATCTCCTGGGCCCAGAAGGTTGAGGCTGCAGTGAGCTATAATCATGTTGCTGCACTCCAGCCTGGGCAACAGAGTGAGATTCAAAAAACAAAAAAACAAAAACAAAAAAACCCTGGGTGCATTGACTCATGCTTGTAATCCCAGCACTTTGGAAGGTGGAGGCGAGAGGATTACCTGAGCCTAGGGGTTCGAGACCAGCCTGGGCAACTTGGCAAGACCTCATCTTCAAAAAATCAAAAAATTAACTGAGAGTGGTGGCGCATGTTTGTGGTTTCAGCTAGTTAGAAGTCTGAGGTGGAAAGATCTCCTGAGCCCTGCAGGTTGAGGCTGTGGTAGCCATGAGCATTTCACTGCACTTCAGCCTGGGTGACAGTGAGACTTTGACTCAAAAATAAATAAGTTAATTTAAAAACTTCAGCTGGGTGTGGTGACTCAAGCCTGTAATCCCAACGCCTTGGGAGGCCAAGATGAGAGGATTGCCTGAGACCAGCCTGGTCAACATGATGAGACCCTAGCTCTACAATTAAAAAAATAATAATTAGCCCGGTGTGGTGGTGTGTGCCCGTGGTTCCAGCTACTTGGAAGACTGAGGCTGAAGGATCGTCCGAGCCCAGCATGTCAAGGCAGCGGCGGCTGTAAGTGTGCCATTGCACTCCAGGTTGGTGACAGAGTGAGATTCTGACTCAAAAATAAAAAAGAAAAAGATAAAAGAGGGTTGAAAACATGGATCTTTTAGGAGTTTGGAAGTTGACCTCTGAAAAAACATTAGAAAACATACGCTTTGAAAAAGGGTAGTAGATGTGATATTCTCATTTCTGGTTAGGCTAAAAAAAAAAAGTCTTAAAAAGCCAGGCTTGGGGGGCTCAACCTGTAATCCCGCGCCCTTGGGAGGCTGAGGTGAGTGGATTGCCTGAACCTGTGGGTTCGAGACCCGCCTGGGCAACTTGGTGAGACCTCATCTCTACAACAAATAAAAAAATTAGCCGGGCGTGGTAGCACGCGCCTGTGTTTCCAGCTCCTTGGAAGGCTGAGGCAGAAGGATCGCCGGAGCCCAGCAGGTCGAGGCTGTGGTAGCCAGGAGCGGCCACTGCACTCCAGTCTGGGCGACAGAGTGAGACTCCAACTCAAAAAAAAAAAGTCTAAAAATGTTAACCGTATATAATTGTATTCAATATTATTTTATGTGTTCCTTAATACAATATCTTTTAATGTAGAAAACAACCTTACTTCAGTTTGAATACCAAAACTTGTATATTTGAGCAGCAGGCATTACATTTCCATCTTTACCCACTCATGACTATAGAATGTCCCCACATCCCATCTGCTTTGCTTCTCTTCAAGCCCAGATGTAATCTTGAGAATACACATCTCTCCAGAAAAGAGAAGACAAACATTTTGGTATAAAATTAGGCAGAATAAACCAAAATATCACCATCTTTTAACTTCAAGATGATAAATGGCACACAAGTCAATTTAGTAATTTAACATAATCTTTACATTTTAGAATTTTATAATGAGATTTTCAAACATTACTTAGCAATTTTGAGTTTTTTTCAGATAAGCCGATTCAAAGTACCAGGTAGTTGTTGAAGCTGCAAAAAAGCTTGAATTCTTTTTTTTTTTGAGTCAGAGTCTCACTCCGTCACCCAGGCTGGAGTGTAGTGGCATGCTCACGGCCACCCCAGCATCAACTTGCTGGGCTCAGGTGATCCTTCTGCCTCAGCCTTCCAAGTAGCAGGAACTACAGGCACGCCTGTACCACACCTGGCCAATTTTCTTTTGATTTTATTTTACTTCTTTTTTTGATTTACTTTATTTTATTTATTGTGGAGCTCTCACCAAGTTGCCCAGGCTGGTCTCGAACCCCTGCGCTCAGGCGATTTCTTGTCTCAGCCTCCCAAAGTGCTAGGATTACAGGCTTGAGCCATGCACCCAGCCTCAATTCTAAATCAAGTTCTAAATCAACTATCCTTTGTAGACAGTTCTGTCTTATATGTTAAGTACAACACCCCCCTCCTCCAAACAAAACAAAAACCCCTCACAAAACAACCCACAGAGCACCAGGAGATCTTTTCTGCCTAAAAGCTTATACTCAGGCACTATTATGTGTCTATATCAAAAACAGATGTGACTAGATGATCTTGAGTTACTTTGGTACTATGTAGTTATAAAGAAAACTTACAATGAAAATGTTTTACGAGGTGTTACAGAACTTGGAATCTTTTGAGGGTGGCAATCAAGGGAATTTGCTATCATTTATTCCTGTATCAAAGGTTGCCAATTTTGTGTCTTGATAATATAAGCTATTAGTTTTTAAAAAGTAGAGGGGAGGAAATTTTTCATTTGTTTTTCAAGTTTACTAAAAAAGCCCAAGTGCCTAAGTTTTAAAAATAGAATTGTTATATAAATTATGAAAAGTAAGCCGGGCTCAGTGGCTCAGCCTGTAATGCCGCGCTTTGGGAGGCTGAGGTGAGTGGATTGCCTGAGCACACGGGTTCGAGACCCGCCTGGGCAACTTGGTGAGACTTCATCTCTACAATAAATCAAAAATTAGCCGGATGTGGTAGCTCACGCCTGTAGTTCCAGCTATTTGGAAGGCTGAGGCGGAAGGATTTCCGGAGCCCAGCAGGTCAAGGCTGTGGTGGCCGGGAGTGACCACTGCACTCCAGTCTGGGTGACAGAGTGAGACTCCAACTCAAAAAAAAAAAAAAATAGATGAATAAATTATGAAAAGTATTTTGGATTCTGTTTAACATATTGAGGGTCAGTAATAAGTTTTAACTTTAAAATTTTTAAAAGTAAATTGTAGGAAATATATAGAAGAAAAATGATAATTATTATTTTTACTAAATGATTTATAATAATGAGAATGTTGACCTTGAGTTCTATGTTGAAAGAATAGTATGAAAGCTGGCAACAGAAACTGAGATTGTGATAGATTTCAGCAGTGTTGTTGGTTCTAAGCTCTTATTCCTAAAGAAACATGTCAGTTTTTCATCTGTGAGTAAGGGACTGGTGAAGGTTTTAAAACTATCTCTTGCTGAACAATTTTAAAAATTGCTTTAATTTTTTAAAAAATGTTCCTTTAGATTCAAGGGGTGCTTGTGCAGGTTTGTTACGTGGGTATGTTGTGTAATGCTGAGGTTTGGCGTGGTCCCCAACAGGTCGCTTTACAGCATTTGCCCCTGCCTGCCTCACTCCTTAGCGGTTCCGGTGTTTGTTGTCCCTGTCCTTATGCCTGTGTGTACCCAATGTTTAGCTCCCAGTTATAAGTGAGAACATGTGGTGTCTAGTTTTTGTTTTTTTGGTTTTTTTTTGAGTTGGAGTCTCACTCTGTTGCCAGACTGGAGTGCAGTGGCCGCTCCTGGCCACCACAGCCTCAACCTGCTGGGCTCCGGCGACCCTTCCGCCTCAGCCTTCTGAGTAGCTGGAACTACAGGCGCGCACTACCACGCCCGGCTAATTTTTTGATTTCTTGTAGAGATGAGGTCTTGCCAAGTTGCCCAGGTGGGTCTCAAACCCGTAGGCTCAGGCAGTGTGCTGGCCTTGGCCTCCCAAAGTGCTGGGATTACAGGCTGAGCCACGAGCCGAACCGGGCGGTGTTTAGTTTATGTTAATTCGCTTTGGGCAATGGCCTCCAGCTGTATCCACATTGCTGCAAAGGCCATGGTTTCATTCTTTTTTATGGCTGTGTAGTATCCCACGAGGTATAAGTACCACATTTGTATGATCCAGTCCACTGGTGTTGTGTATTGGCACCTATTTTGAGTAACGATTGTGTGAAATAATGCTCTGAATTTTGTTGCTTATTCTCTGTGCTCCAAATTACCTCTAAAGTTTTTATTTTGTTTTGAAGGATCCTTTAGTAATTGTGCCTTTTGTATGTAGGATTTTTGATCAAAGCAGACTATAAATATTCAGATTCTATTAAAATGTAATCACTTTTCCAGGATATTTATGAAATTGCATGTTAGACTTGAAAGCAAACTTTATTTAAAGATATCCAGTATACTTAGATTTATTTGAGGAATCTCATTTTACTGCGTTTTGCATTTTTCTTTAAAACAGTGATTAATGCCTCATTTTCATTTTAACAAGTATTGCATACGGATGAAGTCTTGAAATACAGATCTATATTACTTTTTATGACTGCTTAACATTCCACTTTTCTTTGACCAGTTACCTAATTAGACATAAAGATTACTTCTAGTCAGGCATGGTGGCTCATGCCTGTAATCCCAGCACTTTGGGAGGCGGAGGCGAGAGGATTACTTGAGCCCAGGGGTTCGAGACCAACCTGGACAACTTGACAAGACCTCTTCTCTACTGTCAATCCAAAAATTAGCCTGGCGTGGTGGTGCACACCTGTGGTTCCAGCTACTTGGAAAACTGAGGTGGAAGGATCGCCTGAGCCCAGCAGTTTGAGACTGCAGTGGCTGTGAGTGTGCCACTGTACTTCAGCCTGAGCAACAGAGTGAGACTCCAACTAAAAAAAAAAAAAGATTACATCTAGTTTTTTTCTCTTTTAAGTGCTACAGCACTTCTAGTTTTGTGTTGTAGCACTCTCTCATATATGACTGTAGACTTACAAAATTCCAAATAAAATGATTTGCAATCAAATTTTGCATTCTATCAATAGAATTATTCATTCTTTGACTTCAGTAATTGGTTTTTATTTCTAAAAATTGCACTTAAGGCCGGGCTCAGTGGCTCAGCCTGTAATCCTAGCACTTTGGGAGGCCGAGGTGAGTGGATTGCCTGAGCCCGTGGGTTTGAGACCCACCTG